CTCTTGAATGACATTGTTCTATAAAACAACTGTACTATTGGCAAAAATTTATAACATGTTCTATCGTTTTTTTCTTTTTAATGCATTTTATTGAAATATAACTTATGTACAGTGAAATACACAAAACTAAAGTGACATGGGTCAATGCATTTCTTTCTTTTTTTTTTTTTTTCTGGCAGCGTTCCTTCCCCTCCCCTCCCCTCCCACCCCTGGCAACCAACAAAGTTTACTTCCATATATAAACCTTTCCTTGACCCTCCACAACAACGAACTAATACTGTATTTGTCCTTCTGTGATTGACTTATGTCACTTGGTAAAATGTCCTCCAAGTTCATCCATATTACGTGGTGTATTGCAGACCCTACATTATTCTCTAGTGCTGCATAGCACTTCATTATGTATATACCATATATACCATAGTTCGGTCATCCACTCTTCCATTATAAATCTTAGACATAAATCCCTTGTCAGATATGTAATTATTGGCAAATATCAATTTGTTGCTGTCATTTTTGTTATGTACTTTTTCATGGTGTCGATTTCTTTGTTCCATATAATTTTCTATGCTGAGTTTGTTTTGTTTATGAGTCATGTTATCACTTCCTTCATTGCTATGGTTTTAGTATTTGCTGAATATTTATCCTGGTCCTCTTTTTTTGATGTGAAGGTTTATCATTTTTCTTTGAGGTTACCCTGTGATTTACAGTTTTCTTCCTAAGTTTAGAACAGTCCATCTTGATTTCTCTACCACCTAGAAGTTCTGTAATGACACAGTTTTTCCCTCTTTTTGGTTTGTAGTTGTCCTCATTTGTCAATTGATGTCTCTGGTACCCTGTTTATAATCTTGTAGACTTATTTACTTTGGATAATTCCATAGCTGGGTTGGTTTCTGGGTTATATCATCATGTGTGTTAATGGTCAGTTGTTGTTGGCTGCTGTTGTTTGTCTGTCCAAAGGGCTCCCTTTAGCATCTCTTATAAGCTTGGTCTGGTTTTAACAAATTCCCTTAATTTCTGCTTATCTGGAAATGTCCTAATTTCACCATCATATTTGAGGGAAAATTTTGATGGGTACATCATTCTTGGTTGGAAATTTTTCTCTTTCAGTGTTTTATAGATACCATTCCATTGTCTTCTCACCTGCATGGTTTCTGTTGCGAAATCTGAGCTTAGTCTTATTGGTTGCCCCTTGTAGGTAACTCTTTGTTTTTCCCTTGCTGCTTTCATGATTCTTTCTTTGTCTTTGGTTTTGGTAAGTTTGATGATGATATGTCTGGGTGATTTTCTTTTGGGGTCTATCTTGTTTGGGGTTCGCTGGACTTCCTGAATGGATATATTCTCATCTTTCATCATACCAGGAAAATTTTCTTCCAACAAATCAACAATTTTCTCTGTGGTTGTATTTGTCTCTTCCTGTTCTGGAATTCTGATTACACATAGGTTATTCCTTTGATGGTATCCCACATGAAACTTAGGCTTTCTTCATTTTCTTTTGACGACCTTTCTGATGGTTCCCTTTCCAAAGAAGTGTTCAGGTATTTGCCTTCAATCTCCCTAATTCTGTCTTCCATTGATTCAATTCTGCTCCTTTGCCCATTCAATGTCTCATCTATTTCTGAAAATTTAGCACTAATCTTCTGGATTTCTGTGTGTAGATTTTGTATCATTTCTAGTTTTTCATTTATTTTGTCATTTTGTTGTTCTAGGGTTTTCTCTGTGTTTTCCTTGATCTGTCTCTCAGTTTGTTGAAGATACCTAAATATAATTCTTTAAATTCCTTATCAGGGAATTCCATTGCTGCCTATTCCTCAGGAATGTGTTTTGGGTCTGTATCCTGGATCCTTGTTTCTTCTGCTTTATCTTGCTTCTTTGTGTGGACTGTGATGTTCTGTTGTCTTTGAAGGATTTGATGTTTCTACGTTTAAATTTAACTGGTGATTGTATGTGGACTTGCCCACAATTTTAGTTTTCTTTGTATGTTATCTATGCAAGCAGAGTACTGTGCTCCTCTATTTGTTAGTTGATAGCACTTATACACTCATCACCTGTCTCCTTTCCTGTTATCAGTCTCTCGGATGTCCCTGCCAACCTTGGCAAACAGCCTATTCTTATATCCCTGGAGTCTGAATGAGAATGCTATCATTTTATAATCCAAAATGGTTGCCACTTGTAGAGATTCAAAATGGCTGTGCCCTCAGTCACTTTAAATATCCAAAATGGCCACTGCTTATAGACAATCAAAATGGCTGCACCCTCCTGACAGCTGAAAGTCCACAGCTCAGGTTGTCTCTCTCCTTGCTGTTTCCCTTCCTAGTCATAGGCCACCAGAGCAGTCATCTCTGCAGCCCTTAGTGACCAGGACTGATCTTTAGGTCAATTCTCAGGTCCCAACACCACTTGGAAATATTCAGGCTGTTGGTCCTGTCAGAGTAGCTGACAGTCCGTAGCTCCGACCATCTCTGTACTCACTGTTTTCGTTCAGGTTTTTCCACTACTTGATGCCCAATCCACTTCTGTATAGTTCCTTTCAAAGCTCAGGGCTCCAGGATTATCTTCTGTATCTCTGTCAATTGGTTTTTCTTTTCTTTGTTGAGGAGGGTGTCTGTGTCGCTTGTCTGCCTAATCCTCCATCTTACCAGAAGTCCTCATTTTCTATCTTTTAAATTTCAAAAAAGAGGGGAGTTACTCTAAGATATAAAACAATAAACTAGAAATACAAAACTCTTATAAGTTATTTATGTATGGAGGCATCAGTAACTATCCATGCTCCTGCTTCCTTTTGATATAATAAATAAGGCTCTATTAAAATAATACAAGAAAAACCAATGTTTTTCACTCTTTGCTCAATCACAGATTGTAACTTGAAAAAGAAAAATCATGATTTTTTATACATGTAATTTAAAATGAAAGAAAATCAAAATAGTTGTCTCTTTTCCAAAATCTAGAGCTTGCTATTGTTATGATCCACATGATACAAATTGTAGGTAAATACATTAAGCAAAGAAGTGAACAAAATAGTTGATGGTATTTATCAAACAAAAATGCTATTTCCCTCCACATCACAAAAGGTGGGGAGGGCTGAGCTTCCCTGGTGTTGTAGATCTGTCTGGGAGGTGATGTTCCCTCTTGGGGAACAGCAAGGAACTGACAGGCTCAGATGGGGAACCTACACAGGCTAAGAGCCACTGTAAGGGTCAAGCTTTCATAGTTTTTCCTCTTTATGTCCCCCAGTGACATCTCACAACATCAAATATATTCAAACTCAGGGTAAATCATGGGAATGCATACAGGGTAAAACGGTATTTACATGTTAAGAAAACTGTAGCAAAGCAATGGTATACAAAATTTACCTCTGAATATGGAAAATGTTTTTATCAGAGAGTTAGTGTGCATAATAAAAAGCAAAGAAAATAATAGGAAAGTAGCAGGATGAAGGACTCATAAATTTTAGATCCTGAAGATGCTTCTAAATTTAATTTTTTTTTTTGCCAAAGAATTAGAGCTGCAGATAGTAATGATAGTCTTGTTAAATTTTGATCAAATACATAAGAAAACTACATGTTGCTTTCAAAGTTGGTGACTGAAGAACTTAAAATTAATGGGTTAACTTCTTTATTGACTTCCTTGCTGTAAGAATTTGGCTCTGAGAACTAGTAAACTACCACCTGAAGACACGAGTAGGTGACTTGTCTCTGAAAACAACTAAAATAAATTAAGAATTTAATTATCAGAGTTCTAGGCTGAAGGCCAAGTTTATAGAATTTTTTTCTTTTTCAGTTTCCACTGAGACAGATTTTTGACTCATAGTGACCCAGTGTGGCACAGCAGAACTGCCCGTAGGGTTTCCTAGATTGTAATCTTTATGGAAGCCAATCACTAGGTCTTTTCTGCTGCAGAGCCACTGGGCAGGTTTGCCACCAACCTTATAGTTAGTGGCCAAGAGCTTACCATGCCTCCTTTTTGGGGAAATAAGTGAGGATAATTCTCACTTAGGTTTATAAAAAACCCACTGCCATTGAGTCTATTCTGACTTATAATGACCACCATTGGGTTTACAAGGCTGTAAATCTTTGCTGAAGCAGATTGCCTCATCTTTCTCCCATGGAGCAGCTGGTGGGTGCCACTGCAGCTCCTTAGGTTTATAAAAGGGGGTGAGAAAAATCTTAAATCCCTTTATCTACAGATAGGGGATTGGCATAGACATTCTGGAGCATGCTGTGACTAAAAGCCATCAGCCTTAGTAACACAATTCCTGCCTGTTGTTGTGTTGCTGTTATGTCCCTTCCAGTTGGACTGGATTCATAGCGACTCCTCCTTGGGTTTCTGAGGTGGTATCACTAGGGAAGTAGATCGCTCAACCTTCCTTCTGAGGAGTGGCTGGTGGATTTGAACTGCCAGCCTTCCAGTGAGCAGTCAAGTGCCTTAGGCACTATGCTACAAGAGCTCCTAATTCCTGCCTAGGACTTGAAAATCTGAGAAGAAACCAGAAAGAAGCTTTCTCACTTCACTTGCTCTATTCAAAACCAAACAATGCCACTGCCATCAAGTTGATTCCAATCCATAGTGAGCCCCACTGTGTTTCCAAGGCTGTAAATCTTTTCAGAAGTAGATTGCCTCACCTTCCTCCCACTGAGCACCTGATGGATTTGAACTGTCGACCTGGTTAGCAGTCAAATGCCTTAGGCACTGCACCACCAGAGCTCCTTCACCTGCTCTATGGGATATACCTATTATGTATTAAAATGTAACATTGGGAAACAGTTACCTAAGGGAAAAAAAGATGACAAAACAATTCATTTTTAACACTGCTGATTCAAAACACAAGTTGTGCATTTTACTTTTATAAATGCCTGTTTCTTGTTCCAATATTTGATGAAACATAGCTCATTAACCTTTTTTTTAACCACAAACAGTATTTTCTATATATGTAAATATAGGTGATTAATTTATTTCACCAAATTCAACTCCTCAAATTCCAAGAGTATATTTAAAATAATTACCTTCCAAAAGAGAATGCTGCAGTGCCGACAAAAATGTAATGTGTCTCCATATTGTTCTTTCGTTGGATAATATTTCTGAAGTGCAAAATACATCAGCTTCCATTCGATATGACCTTTTTCTGAAAGGATCAAATGTCTACAAAACTAGACATAAACAAAATTTGGTTCAGAATCAGGAGAAGATGATTTTCCAAGCACAGGACTAGGTACAAAACTGGTTTTAAATGTAATGCATGAAACATTTGAAATTAAGCAACTTACTGGGATGAAATCAATAAGGGAATAATCAAATTACAACATGTCTATACAACAGAATATTAAGCAGTTAAAAATTTTAAATATTCTGATCTGGAAAAATATCTGTTTATATTAACTAAAAATAAATAATATATCTGATAATGGACTTGTATCTAGGGCATAGAAAACACTTACAACTCAGTAAAAGACACATAACTCAGTTAAAAATTGGGCCAGGGATCTGGATAGAAATTTCCTCAAAAAGATATATGGCTTGCCAATAAGCACATGTAAGATGCTCAGCATCATTAGTCATCAAGGAAATGCAAATCCAAACCACAATGAGATACTTCACACTCACTAGGATGGTTAAAATAAAAAAGTCTGATGATAATTAAGTGTTTATGATGATGTGGAGAAATCAGAGCCCTCACACACTGCTAGTAGGAATGTACACTATAGTACAGTCACCTTGGGAAACAGTCTGGCAGTTCCTCAAAAATTTAAACACAGAATTACCACTTGACCCAGAAATTCCACTCAAAAGAAATGAAAACACATCAAATGTTCACAGCAGCATCCTTCATAATAGCCAAAAAGTGAAACAACCCAATGTCCATCAACTGATGAGTGTTATAAACAAAATGTGGCATATTCACACAATGAAGTATTATTTGGCCATAGAAAGGAATGAAGTACTGATACATGCTACAACATGGATGAATCTTAAAAACATTATGCTAAGTTAAAGAAGCAAACCACAAAAGACCACTTAAATGTGATTTCATTTATATGAAATGTGCAGAATACAGAAACTTAGAAAGAGTAGTACTGGGTGAGGAGTGAGGAGATTGGGGTGGGGAGGTGGGGATTGATAACTAAAAGGTACAGGTTTGTTTGTTTGTTTTTTTTTCTGAGGTGATAAAATGTTCTAAAATTGATTGTGGTTATGGTTATACAACTGTGAATATGCTAAAAACTATTATGGAAAAAAATGAATGTGTATTGTTGTTACAAGGTGCCATCAAGTTAGCTCTGATTCATACCAACCCTATGTATAAGAGAATGACACACTGCCCAGTCTTGTGCCATCTTCACTATCCTTGCTATGCCTGAGTCCATTGTGTCCATCCATTTCATTGAGGGTCTTCCCCTTCTTCGCTGACCCTGTACTTTCCCAGGCATGATATCCTTCCAGGGACTGGTCCCTTCTGACAACATGACCAAAGTAGATAGGACAAGTCTGGCCATTTTTGCTTCCAAGGAGTATTCCGGCTGTACTTCCAGGACAAATTTGTTCATTCTTCTGGCAATCCGTGCTATTTTCCTTATTCTTTGCCAACACCACTATTCAAAACCATCAACAGTTCTTCCCTCTTCATTATTCATTATTCAGCTTTCACATGCATATGAAGTGATTGAAAATACCATGGCTTAAGTTAGGTGCACCTTAGTCTTCAAAGTGACATTTTTGCTTCTTAAGACTTTAAAGAGGACTTTTGCAGCAGATTTTCCCAGTCCAATATGACATCTGATTTCCTGATTGCTGCTTCTGTGGGTGTTAACTGTGGATCCAAGTAAAATGGAATCCCTGACAACTTCAGTCTTTTCTCCATTTATCATGAGTTTCCTTATTGGTCTACTTGTGAGGATTTTAATTTTCTTTATGTTGAAGTATAATCCATACTGAAGACTGAAGTCTCTGATCTTCATCAGTAAGTGCTTCAAGTCCTCTTCACTTTCAGCAAGCAAGGTTGTGTCATCTGCATGCTACAGCCTGTTAATGGTTCTTCCTCCAATTCTGATGTTGTATTCTTTGGATTTGCTTCTCAGATTATTTGCTCAGCATACAGATTTAATAAGTACAGTGAAAGGATATAACCCTGATGCACACCCTTCCTCATTTTAAACCACGCAGCATCCCCTTGTTCTGTTCAAATGACATCCTCTTGGCCTTTGTGCAGGTTCCTCATGGGGACAACTAAATGTTGTGGAATTCCCATTCTTCACAATGTTATCTATAATTTGTTATGAGTCACACAGTCAAATGCCTTTTCATAGTCAGTAAAACAGAAGTAAGCATCTTTCTGGCATTCTTTGCTTCAGCAAAGATCCGTCTGACATCAGCAATGATATCCCTTGTTCCATGTCCTCTTCTGAATCTAGCTTGCATTTCTGGAAGTTCCCTGTCAATTACTGCTGCAACTGTTTTTGAATTATCTTCAGCAAGAAGGGTGGGCAATCTACTTCCATAGTGATACTGCCTCGGAAACCCAAGGAGGGGTCGCTATGAGTCGGGTCCGACCCGATGGCACATAACAACAACAACATTTATAACATTGTTTGATAATTTCCATATTCTGTTGGATCGCCTTTGTTTGGAATCGGCACAAATACTGATCTCTTCCAGTCAGTTGTCCAGGTAGATGACTTCCAAATTTCTTGGCATCAATGAGTAAGTGCCTCCAGTGCTGTAGCTGTTTGTTGAAACGTCTCAATGGGTATTCCTTCAATTCCCGGAGCCTTGTTTTTCACCAATTCCTTTAGTGCAGCTTTGACTTCTTCCTTCAATACTATTGGTTCTTGATCACATGCTACCTCCTGAAACAGTTGGACATCGACAAATTCTTTTTGATACAGTGACTTTATGTATTCCTTCCATCTTCTTTTGATGCTTCCTGAATCATTCAGTATTTTGCCATTGAATCCTTCAATATTGCAACTCAAGGCTTCAGTTCTTTCAACTTGAGAAATGAAAAGTGTGTTCTTCCCTTTTGGTTTTCTAACTCCAGGTCTTCGCAATTTCATTGTAATACTTTGTCTCTCAAGCTGCCCTTTGAAATTTTCTCTTCAGTTCTTTCATTTCAGCATTTCTTCCATTCACTTTAGCTACTCCATGTTCAAGAGCAAGTTTCAGAGTCTCTTCTGACATCTATTTTGGTCTTTTCTTCCTTTTACTGTCTTTAATGACTATTTGCTTTCTTCATGCATAATTTTCTTGATGTCTTCCCACTGGTCTGGTCCTTGGTGTTCAAAGCATCAAATCTATTCTTCAGATGGTCTCTAAATTCAGGTGGGATATAATCAAGGTTATATTTTGACTATCATGGACTTATTTTCACTTTTCTTTAGCTTCGACTTGAACTTGCATGTGAGCAATTGATGGTCTGTCCAACAGTCCGCTCCTGGCCTAGTTCTGACTGATGATACTGAGCTTTTCCTTTGCCTCTTTCTACAGATGTAGTTGATCTCATTTCTGTGTATTCTATCTGGTGAAATCCACGTGTACAGCTGCTGTTTATGTTGTTGAAAAATTAATTTGCAATGAACAAGTCATTGGTCTTGCAAAATTCTATTATGCAATCTCTGGTGTCATTTCTATCACCAAGGCCATTATTTTCCAACTACTGATGATTCTTCTTTGTTTCCAATTTTCTCATTCCAATCACCAATAATTTTTAATACATCTTGATTGCATGCTTTGTCAATTTCAGACCACAGAAGTCGATAAAAATCTTCAATTTCCTCATCTTTGGCTTTAGTGTTGGTGCATAAATTTGAAGAATAGCAGTATTAAGTAGTCTTCCCTTGTAGGCAAGGGGATATTATCCTATCATGGACAGCATTGTACTTCAGAATAGATCTCAAGATACTAATTATGACAATGAATGCAACCCTATTCCTCTTCAATTTATCATTCCTGGCATAGTAGATCTTATGATTGTCTGATTCAAAATGGTGAATACCAGTCCATTTCAGCTCACTAATGCCTAGGATACTGATGTTTATGCATTCCATATCATTTTGACAACTTCCAGTTTTCCTAGATTCATACTTCATAAATTCCATGCTCCAATTATTAATGGATGTTTGCAGCTGTTTTTTTTTTTTCTTCCCATTTTGAGTCATGCCTTATGTGATAGTTGAAGATGTGTCAACTTGGCTGGACTCCAGTTGTGAGTGGTGGTTCCCATGATGGATCACATGACTGCGTTCTAAGCGGCTGGTCGGCCTAGGGGGAGTTTCCCCAGGGGTGTGGCCTACCTGCAATACTATCCCAGGGACAAACTGGAAGAACGGCATTCCGGACCATATACTTCCTGGAGCGAGCAGCTCGCTGCTCGCCCTGGAGGTTTTCGGATTCTTTCTTTGTTGGGAACAGTGACCAGCGCACTGCGTGTCAGCTTGATTCTCTCGGCTTTACTGTGCTTACGGGAACCAGACGACTCCGGGCCCCATCTCTCTCCAGAGACGAACTTTGTGACTTGAACTCCTCTGCCGTGCGTGCGAAAGCCAGACGGCCCTGGGCCCCATCCCCCTCCAGAGACGAACTTTTCAGTTTGAACTTGTCAGCTTCTACACGCTTGTGAGCCATTTATCTAAGATAAATTTCTCTCTCTCTCTCTATAAATATATATATATATACTTTGCTGGTTTTTGTGTTTCTCTAGAGAACCCAATCCAACACACCTTATGAGCAAATGAAGGTCCCAAAAGCTTTACTTCATCCATGTCATTAAGGTAGACTCTACTTTGGGGAGAGAGCTGCTTCCTAGTCATATTTTGAGTGCCCTCCCACATGAGGGCTCATCTTTGTGCACTATATCAGACAATGTTTCACAGCCATTCATAAAGTTTTCTAGTAATATATCAGACAGGATTTCACTGCTATTCTTAAGGTTTCAGTGGCCAGTTTTTTCAAAAGTGAATGGTCCTGTCTTTCTTCCCAGTCTCTCTTTGACTGGAAGCTGCACCAAAACCTGTCTACCATGGGTGACCCTGCACGTATTTCAAATACTGGTGGCATAGCTTTTATCCTCGTAGCAACACGCAAGCCCTCATAGTACAACAGACTGATAGGTGGCACATGTGCCACTGGATGTGTTCAAATACCAACTTTTAGTTTTATTTTCACATCTCATTAATTCTGTATTATACCAACATTCACAGGCAGCTATATGGTAAATTTTTCCAGCCTCCACATTATGTTTTTCCTTAATAACCAACTGAGATTTTTCTAAACTCAAGCATAACATCCACAACAAAATGTTGAAGTCAAGCGTATTTAGTCAATTTTTCCTTCCAATATTATTTTAGATCATTCATATCAGTCCAACCTTTACAACTGACTCAGTTTTCATTTGCAGAGTATGTCCTTACTTTTTCTATTTTCAAAAATTTTTTCTAATATGCTTGTCTTTTTTTCAAGGTCTTATTGTTAGTTACTAAGCCCTGAAGGAGAGGTAATTGTTTTGATGTTGTGTTTTTAGAATTCAGTCAAGGAAATATGTGCAAACAAGATGCACCTGTAGGTGTTAATTGCTAATTATAACCTAACTATTCTGGTATGACATTAAATACTGGTACAGAACAGTCATTTAATTTCTTTATAGTGGTTCATTTAATGAAATGTAAAGAACTCACAATGGCCAACAGATAAAATATATTTTGAACACAGATTTATAAAATAAACTGTAAGGCATTCTCATTACTATCTTTGGTAAACAGTTAAGGTCTGAATATGTTGATGGAGGTGAAAAGATAAATAGGAGACAAAAGCAAGCTTTAGGAGTACCTCAATACAGACATGAGTCGTACTGGGGTTCCTTGTCCTCTGCACAGCATCAGTAACAAATGAAGGGAGGTTCCAAGGGAAGTTGTGTAAACAGAGCGGGTCACTTTTATTTTTTCCATCCTAGATACAACTTCATTCACCCTCTTTTCCTATGCCCTTTTCCTATGTTGTAAATCCTCCCTTCAAAAAATTCAATCCCCCTCCCTTCCTATGCTGCCTTTTAGAATTCAATCTGTTTTCTTTCCTCTTCAGATTTATCTGAGTTTTTCTGCCCCTCCCCAACAAGTCCACTTAAAACAGTTACTGCTAAGCCTACCAATAACAACTATATAACTAAATCAAATGAACATTTTCTAGTCTTCACTTTAATTAGTCTCTCACTAGCTACTGACACTTCCCCATCTTTGGACACTCTTCCTTGGCTTTTGTGGAATTTCAAAATCCTGTTTTCCTCTTAACTCTCTAGTACCTTTTATCCTTAATCCTTTACAGCTCATACTCCTTTCCTCAGCCTTTAATACTGGAGTTCCTTAAAGCTCTGCCTAGGATTTCTCTTCTCAGTGTATTCTTTTTCTCTAGAGAAATGCATCCATGCCAGTGGCTCCAAATACCATTTATATGTTGATCAGCTCAATTCAGCTTAGATTGTTCCATAGAATATCCAACCACCTACTTGACTTTTTTCATTCAGATATTTGAAAGGCATCACACTCAAACCTTTCCAAAATTGTAATTCATCATCGAATCCCCAAACCTGATCATCCCATCCAATGTTTCCAACTGCATGGTAATTATCTGCCATCCACCACTGTCTGCAAGCCAGAAACTTGTCTGTAATGCCTCCTCCTCTTCACCTTGATATCCAATCAAGCATCAAATCCTATCAATTTTATCTCCTAAATATCTTTCAAGTCTGTCCACTTCTGCATTTCCCTAGCCACTATTCCTTCTTGTGACAATCTTTTATTCTTTCTTGGGAAAGTCTCTAGATGTGTCTCCTTGCATTTCTACTTCAATCTATTCCTCAAAGAAGTGCAAGAAGGATCTTGAACACTGTGCTCTTTCAAGATCTATTTGTATAGTATCAAAATGGCAAGAGCCACTCTAAAGATTAGATAGGAACCTCAGGGGGCAGTGAGTTTATGTTAATGGGAGAAAAACAACTCCGAAAAGGAGGTTGACAATGGTTGCATAACTTGAACAATGTAATCAATGCTACCAAACTGTACGTGTGGATACCTGAATTGATGTATGCTTTGCTGTGAATCAACAACAGCAACAAAATAAATAATATTAATAAATGAATTATTAACCAATAAAGAAACTGAAACTTGTTGAAAACCCTTCAATGGCCTTTCTAAGCTCTTTGGATAAAAACTAAGATCCTTAATGTGGCCTCTAAGATCATCATGATCTGGTTCCTAGCAATTGCACTAGCCTCATTTTATGTTATTTTCCCCTCAACATCGACATTTCTATCACAGTGGTTATCTTCCAACTCAAGTATACGATACTGTTCTCCATTTCAAAGCATTTACACAAATTTTTCTCTCAGCTTAGAACCTCACCTCTGCTTATTGCTTCAAACCAAAAACCAAACTCGCTGCCATCAAGTCAGTTGTGACTCATAGTGACCCTTATTGGGTGTCCAAGGCTGTTAATCTTTATGGAAGCAGACTGCCTCATCTTTCTTGGATGGAGTGGCTGGTGGGTTTGAACCACCAATCTTTTGGTTAGCAGCAAAATGACTTAATCACTACACCACCAAAGCTCCTTGCTTATTGCCTGTTGTTGTTATGTGTCAAGTCGACCTGACTCAGAGCGACCCCTCGTTGGGTTTCCGAGGCGGTATCATTATGGAAGTAGATTGCCCAAGCTTCCTTCCGAGGAGTGGCTGGTGGGTTTGAACTGCCAGCCTTCTGGTTAGCAGTCAAGTACCTTAGGCACTGCCTAGATTACCTTAATTTTCTCAAGGAATTCCCCTTATCCCTGTCCTCCAAGTGCAAACAATGTTCACTTGTGAAATGCTATACTACTTTTTTTATATAGTATTGATCATAAACCCTTCTAGACAGTGATCTCCATAAGAGTAAAGACAAACCTGCCTTGTTCATGACTATGTCTCCTGTGCCGTTCACTCTGCTTTGTGCAAGGCAGGCACTCACTAAACAGTTATGCAATAAATGAGTGAATGAATGGTTTCTGCAATGATCTAGAAACAATACGATTTAACTCTGGATAATGAATAAGCAAACTGCATGGGAGAAGACCCCTCAAAGGAATACATAAATATGCTTTGTACTGACTCCCACAACTGGTTCTTGAAGGTAGTAAGAAATACAGAAAGGTAAAGGAGTATTCTTTGGAGATTGAAGAATGGTGTGTTACCAACTGATAACAGACAACTTAGTCTCAAAGAGTTTAAAAAGTTTTGTAAAAGATACACACTTTGATAAAAGGCAGAACAGGAATTTGATTCATCAGATTCATGAGAAAAGAAAATAAACCAGTGACTTGGATACACCATTGCTTTTAAAAGAGCTAAGAAACGAAGTAAGTTCTTGTTTTATTGTTTTCTTAAGTATAAAAATAACCTTATGATGGATAAATGGGAAACCATAAACAATTTTAATGAATCATGACTATTACTGATTCTTAAAAAATGCACCTGAAATAGAGTGCATGGGAAAACACACCAGGTGAGTGTATTCATATACTACTGTATTTGAAGGGGGTATCTATTAAACTCATGGAATCTAGAGGAAGACAGCTATATCATTGTACTTACCTGCTTTTCAGCAAAATGGTACTGACAAAGTTTCTTCCACAACTGTCTATCTTCACTGAGCATATACAATGTTGGAGTCACTTGACCTAAAGTTATGATGTCCCATCCATCTGAGAATCTGTATAATATATTGTTCAGCATGTGTAAAGGAAGATCACTAAGTGTAAGGCCATTGTTCACTTGCTGAAAGGAAAATATTGATATCATTTCACTAAGAGCACAATGAATAGTAGCATTTATTTACATTGAAATTTAATGCCCAAGCTAGAATAAATACTTCAAAATATGACAATATGAAAGAACTACAATTTAAAATACGGCTTTACTGTTCTTGATAGTTTATAAAGTGCTTGTATGCATGATCTCATCATACTTATGGCAACTGTAAGGCAGGCAGAGAAGAGGGTTATTCCTCTTCTACAAATAAAGAAATGGACACACAAGCAGATACAGTAGCATGGCCAGAAAACAGTCACTGGAAATCAAATCTAGGCCTTCTTGGTCTTAGCCTTCTTTCTTATAGCTTCTACTGTACCAGTACATGACCCAGAAATATTTTTAACATTAGGAAAAAAGTATTAGACTATAACATTAAAAAAAAAAAAAAACTGGAAAATGATAGGTTCTAAGAATACAGAACTATTGAAGAAATGAATCTAATGCTTCATGAGTGCAACAAAGATAGGTTTTTTATGTGGTCATATGATAGAGTAAGGAGAAGGACCTCTAGCCTATGAGTCAGGAGACATGGCTCTAGTTCTACAACAGGATCACTATCCTGAGAGGCCTTGGGTAATACCTTAACATTAATAAGTCACAATTATTTCAACTCAACTACTAGGTGAGGTAGACTAAATTACCTTTAAGGTTCCTTCTAAATTAACATTTCTGTGCTTTCACATTTATAAACCATATCCTCCCTGACATAAATATTTATCCCTTAGAAAAGTTGATGAAAGTAAAGAACCCTATAGAGTAAAACGAAAAGCTGACTGTTCTGTAAGAGAGAACAAAAAACAAATATAATAGTATTTGGCTTGAGAGATGAGCACTAGTCCCCTATTTGGAGACTAAATTAGCTCAAAAAGTAACTCTGCTTTGAAGGCTGATCTAGGGTAGCCCTGGTCTGTTGTTAGATGCCATCGAGTTGATTTCAACTCACAGTAACCCTATGTACAGCAGAATGAAACACTGCCTGGTCCTGCACTATCCTCACAATCACTGCTATATTTGAGCCCATTATTGCAGCCACTGTGTCAATCTATCTGGTTGAGGGTCTTCTTCTTTTTTGCTTACCATCTACTTCTCCAAGGACTGGTCCCACCTGATAATACATCCAAAGTTATGAGAGGTAAGTCTCGCCATCCTTGCTTCCAAGGAGCATTTCAGCTACACTTTCTCCAAGATAGATTTGTTCATTCTTCTAGCAATCCATGGTACATTCAATATTCTTCACCAACACCATAATTCAAAGGCATCAATTCTTCTTTGGTCTTCCTTATTCATCGTCCAGCTTTCACATGAGTATGAGGCTACTGAAAAAGCAATGGCTGGGGGAAGGTATACCTTAGTCTTCAAAATGACAACTTTACTCTTTAACACTTAAAAGGTCTTTTGCAGCAGATATGACCAATGCAATACATCCTTTGATATCTTGACACCTGCTACTATGGGCATTGATTGTGGATCCAAGTAAAATGGAATCATTGACAACTTCAGTCTGCTCTCCATTTATCATGGTGTTGCTTATTGGTGTAGTTGTGAGGATTTTTTGTTTTCTTTTGCTTGAGGTGTAATCCATATTGAAGACTGTATTCTCTGATCTTCATTAATAAGTGCTTCAAGTCTCCTTCACTTACAGCAAGCAAGGTTGTGTCATCTGCATATTGCAAGCTGTTAATGAGTCTTCCTCCAATCCTGACGCCACATTGTTCATATAGACCAGTTTCTTGGGTTATGTGCTCAGCATACAGATTGATTAAGTGTGGTGAAAGAATACAGCCCTGATGCACACCTTTCCTGATTTTAAACTATGCAGTATCCCCTTGTTCTGTTCGAAAGACTGCTTCTTGGTCTCTGTACAAGTTCTTCATGAGTGCAATTAAGTGTTCTGGAATTCCTATTCTTTGCAATGTTATCAATAATTTGTTATGATCCATATAGTTGAATGTCTTTGTATAGTCAGTAAGACACAGGTAATATCTTTCTGGTATTCTTTGTTTTCAGCCAAGATCTGTCTGACATCAGCAATGATATCTCTTATTCCACATCTTCTTCTGAATGAGGCTTGAATTTCTGGCAGTTCCCTCTCTATGGACAGTTGCCAATGTGTTTGAATTATTTTCAGAATACTTTTACTTGCACATGATATTAATAATATGGTTTGATAATTTCCACTTCTGCTGGATCATCTTTCTTTGGTAGGGGCACAAATATGGATTTCTTCCAGTTGGTTGACTATGTAGCCGTCTTCCAAATTTCTTGGCATAAATGAGTGAGTGCCCTAGCACTGCATCCGTTTACTGAAACATCTCAATTGGAATTCCATCAATTCCAGAAGCCTTGTTTTTTTTTTTTTTTTTGTGCCAATTACTTCAGTACCCCGTAGCCTTCTTCAGTGCCATTGGTCTTTGATCATATGCTACCTTCTGAAATGGTTAACTATCAACTAATTATTTTTGATACAATGACTCTGTGTATTCCTTCCACCATCTTTTGATGTTTCCTGTATCATTTAATATTTTGCCCAAAAAATCCTTTCATATTGCAACTTCAGCCTTGAATTTTTTTCTCAGTTCTTCCAGGTTAAGAAATACTGAGAATGTTCTTCTTTTTTGGTTTTCTAACTTCATGTCTTTGCACATTTCATTATAATACTTTTGTCTTCCCGAGCTATCCTTTGAAATCTTCTATTCCAATCTTTTACTTTACCATCTCTGCCATTTCCTTTAGCTACTCTCCATTCAAGAGCAAGTTTTAGTCTCTTCTGACATCCATTTTGATCTTTTCTTTCTTTCCTGTCTTTTTAATGATCTTTTGCTTTCTTCATGTATGATATTTTTCATGTAATCCCCCAGGTCATCTCTTCCTTAGTCCTTTGTGTTTAATGAGTCAAATCTATTTTTCAGATGGTTTCTAAATTCAGGTAGGATATATGTATGATCGTATTTTGGCTCTTGTGGACTTGCTTTAATTTTCTTCAGCTTCAACCTAAACTTGCATATGAGCAATTGATTGTCTGTTCTACAGCTGGCCCCTTGTCTTGTTCTGACTGATAATGTTGTTGTTGTTAAGTGCCGTCGAGTCATTTCCAACTCATAGCGACCCCATGCACAGCAGAACTAAACACTGCCCGATCCCGCGCCAGCTCCAT